ATATAAATAATAATATAATAATATAATAAATAACAAAAATAGTATCCACGAATAAGATCAATAATATACTGTGATAAATAACTGAAATCTATTAATAAGTAATACAATATTGAAAAAAATTTGAAATTCAGCAAAAGTAACAGTCTAAATTTTGATATAAAAAGCCGTAGATACAATAATATCGACGCGTACGTTATATGAGAGAATTTTCTCTGTAACATTTCGTATCCGCGCTGTAACTTCAACAATTTCAATATGATAAGCGAGAATATACTCACTTCGCGTCTCGCAGTATCTTGACGCGTCTTCCATCTCGTTATAGGCTTCTTTTTTCCCTCTCTTTGCCTGTTCTTTTAGATTTTCCTCAGCAACATGCCACGATTATCGCGTGATGTGTCGGCATTCACGAGATGCGTCGATCCTTTTTAAACACAATAACGGATTGCATAGCGCACACGATTCCCTCGAACGTTAAACGGCGCGTGATAAAGATTGTCTTTATCTTTCGATTATCGCGTTCGAGCGACAAATGTATCGATGTGGACGGGGTGGTATTTAAGTTCGTCGAATATCGAGTCGCGAATTCGACGCACGAGCTCGTCGACCATCCCGTAATCGGAAGCGAAGGGGAAAGAGATCGCGAACAGATCGAGATTATCGAGATCTCGCCTCAGCTATACAGCCTGTCCGTTTCATCTCGCTATCAGCAGATTCGGGGCATTAATACGATATCGGAAATAGGATTATATCTCTTGCCAGCGTGCTTTTCTTCCGCTGGGAATCCCTTTAGGATTGAGCGTTTTTATCCTTCCCGCATTTATTATTCCTACTCTTATTATTTCTATTATCCCGCAAGTCCCGCGAGAGCGGATATGTAGTGCCGGGAAAGGAGAGATGTTCTTCTCGAGTTCCTTGCGCTCCCTTATCCCGCGAGAATTGTTATTACAAGTTTCTCAAACGTGGAAAAGATATCTCCGAGATGAGATATCCGCGGTGATATTGCGTACGTGGCAGTACGATTCCGCATTTGCGAATTTGTGAATGATATTATCTCGATAAGACGCTCGAGATTATTTGCAATATTCTCAGGATTTTGTACCGTTTTTTTTTTTTTTCACGGAATTATCTAATTCATATTACAACATAATTTAATTCGTGTGGCACAGCCGCTCGAGATTGTCTCATTTTTGCAAGATTTTTTTATATACCTTTTTTTTTATACCTATTACCCCGCTCGAATCTCGTTTGTGTACGTGTGATTCAAAATTTATTATCTGCTGTATTTGATATCTCGCAGTCGTATTTTAAAACTGCAGCGCGCGTTTAATTCAATTTGTACCAATTCGCGGAGAAACTCCTAGCGTTGCTTCTTATTACCGGGATTCCGCATTTTTCTTCAATTTGTCTTCTATTATCTTTTTATATTCCGTCTCTATTCTCATTGCATTTTTCAGAATTATATCATGGGCAATTTAAATCTTGTGCGATTCGATACGGCCACTCGATTCCGCTTCGACCGCGTTCTCTTTGGCTCGATTTTGAATTTAATCGCGTGATCGATCCCGATTATCCGTGCTCGATTCCCCTCTTCTCGTCAAGTGTTCTCGATGCTCCGCTCGTAATACTCGCAACGCGCATTCCCTTAATGCCCTTAATGCGTGCAGTCACGGAGGTGCGTGCCGTCGTAGAACTATTATCGTCGTATAAGCGAGCGTAAGATGGAAGGATTACAGCTGATCAAAAGTGTCTTCCTCTACTTCGACCGTCTTTTTATTTTTTTCTTTCTTCCACTCTCTCTTCGATTCGTGGCCTGTCAAAATCGACGTCGATTAATCTAGAACTTTGACAGTTGCCTCCGAACTGATTCCTGTATTCGAACAGGAATCTCCTCGGCGATCGATTCCTCGATCGATTCTCTTCTCGCGCAATTTAAAAGGATTCGCGAAAGTCATAAAGATCCACGCTTTCGGCGGGCAATCAATCACTCGTCGCGCTACTCGAGGAAATATTTGCGGTGCACTCAATTAGATGCACTTCGCGAGTCGAGAGAGGCGAATCGCACTGTCGATCGATCGTTTTTATTCGTTGCTACGATCGCTCGAGGAAACGTTTCGCCTCGAACGTTTCCCGAAATGCGAACGCCGAGATTTCGCAGGGAGAGATGGTTCGTGTGGAGGGTTCGTCGACCGGTTCGCGATCGACTTTTCGGCGCAAGACTAGCGCGATACGCCACACACGGATGCCGCGCGCCGACTGAGGTTGACTGACGACGGCGGCTCCGAGTTTCACGCCGATTTCAGTCGTCACGTGACGGTGGCTGCCCCGATGTCGACGATGCGACGTCGCGTGGCGCGTGGCGTCCGCGACGCGCATAGGACGGCCCTCTCTCACCTGTATCATCCCCGAGAAGCCAACCCTAACACGATCGATACATTTATTGTCGATGTAAGCATCGATAATAAATGCGAACTTTCGAATCCACGTTTTATTGAAAAATACAATTAATATGCAAAGAAATGAAATTTTACTTCTTTGCATATTAATTGTATTTTATCTTTTGATTTTATCCTTTCTTTGCAAAAATTATAGTTCTGAGAAATCTCTTGTATATTATAAATATTAATTTAAAAATTATATACTTGAATAATTTTATTAATAAACAAATTCATTTATTTGTCTGAAGATTGAATTT